AATGAAATCATCTAGGGGGGGGGGGGGGGGGGGAGATAGAAAGGCACTCTTCAATGTGTAGAGAACAGGAAGATAAGGAGGAAATAGCAAAGGAGATTGAGAAAGAATGGCCAACGAGATGGAATAATTAAGAAGAGTGATGCCATATATAAACCAAGTGCAGGAAATGTTTCATGGTGGAGAAAGTGATCACTGTGTTAAATGCTGCTGATAGGTCAAAAAGGGTAAAGATTGAGAACTCACCATTGGCTTCTGTAACATGGACCTTAGTGGTGACTTTGATAAAAACTATTTCAGTGGAGTCCTGACTGATTGGATTAGATCTGAGAGAAAATGAAAGGAAATAAGTGGAGATAGCAAACAATTCTTTTGAGATCTTTTCAAAGGGGAGCAGATAAATCGAGAAGTTGTGAAAGGGGGATGTAAAATTGTTATGGACTGAATTATGTTCCCCAAAATTCATAGGTTGAAGCTCTAATCCCCAATGTGACTGTACTTGGAGACAGAGCCTTTAGGGTGGGGCCCTTATCCAACAGGACTGGTGTTCTTATAAGAGGAAAAGATACCAGGAGTACATGTACATAAGGGAAAGGCCATGTGAGGACTCGACAAGAAGGTAGCTATCTACAAGCTAGGGAGAGAGTCCTCACCAGAACACTACCAGCACCTTGATCTTGGACTCCCAGACTCCAGAACTGTGACAAAATTAATTTGTTGTTTAAGCCACCCAGTCTGCGGTATTGTTATGGCAGCCCTAGCAGACTAATACAAAAGTCAAGGGAAATTTGTGTTTTAAGATGGGGAATATTGTAGCATGTTTATTTTCTGAAATGAGCACTCAGGTAGACAGGGAAATTACTGGAGCAATGTTCCTGGGTAGTACTGATTGGATGGAATCTAGTACACAATATAGAAGTTCGCTTTTGATAGGAATGTAAGTAGATTTATAAATGTGGTGGGAGGGTAGGGAAATTCTCTTCTGAGTCCTTTTATTTTCTTGGTGAAATAGGAAGAAAGATCATAAGTGGAAAGGAGAGGTGGGGTAGGAATTGGAATTTGAGAAGAAAGTATGAAATAATTATCTAGGAGAATGGGAGAGTAAATGGACTAGGGAGATGTGTCAGGCTACTGAGCAATGCTAAGAGCCCATTGAAATTAGTGGTCATAAATTTAAAGTGAGACTAGTCATTATCCTTCTGTGTTTTTTGCAGGATCAGTTGGGTTAGATGGAGAATTGGATCTAACCTGGGTTGGGGTTTTGCCAGGCATGAATGACAGAGGGAGACTATGCAAGAGAGGGATTATAATGACGGTCTGGAGAACCTAAGCTGAGAAGGATGAAGGGAAAGACATGAGAAGGGTGAGAGGAACAATAAGAAGGTGGTAGGATCACTACACTGTGGTTCCAAGGAGGTAGAAGAATTAGTAGAGTCAGGTTATTACAGTGGGTGAGCTGGAAAGATGGGTGGTTATGGCTGCAAGATGCTTGAAATTGAGACTATGCACGGGGTGCAGCTGGAATCAAGGTCTAGTGTATAATTATATGACTAAGGTAGGGAAAAAAGAACACTGGGAGATCGGTCACAGAACTAAGAGTTCTATATGGATATTATCTCTATATTGATGAGGATTAGAACTGAAGCTCGTTGCTGTAATCTTCAAGGAATGAGGGGGAATGATTTGCAGCTGTGTAGATGGCTGAATTATGGAAGAATAGCAAGTTGAATACTTTAAAGGCATGAGTTTCAAGGCTGGCCATTTTATTTTATTTTTAAAAAGATGACCGGTAAGGGGATCTTAAACCTTGACCTGGTGTTGTCGGCACCACGCTCTCCCAAGTGAGCCAAGGGCTGGCCCAAGGCTGGCCATTTTTAGAAAAGTAGTAGGAATAATGATCTGCTTTAAGTGAAATTTTTAGAACAGTGGTATCTCTCTATACACAGGCTATACTTTCTAGAAACCAGTACAGATATAATAAACCTAGTAGCTGTGTGGTAGTGGAGGGGATATCACTTGATTACCAGGCTGGCAGACATGCCCAAGGTGATGACTTTCCTCCTCACCTGGCATGGTGCCTCCACAGGCACAGCGAACTGTTTTCTGGCCTCCACTGGATTTTTTTTTGGATGCTGTTCTGAGCTTTGTAAAATGTTTAGCAGCATCCCTGACCTCTACCCTCTAGATGCGAGTAGCACCCTGGCCCAGTAGTGGCAACCAAAAATGTCTCTGAGACTTTGCCAAATGTCCCCTGGGGGGCAAAATCACTCCCTGTTGAGAATCACTGATCTTAAAGTAGCAATGATGAGCTAAAGGATACCCACCTGACCTCTGGGCCCAGTGATGTAAGGAGTGAGGAAGAGCAAATAGCTAATAATATGAGAGGGTGATGGGGCAGCAGTGTGTTCTGGGAAGATCAGATTTTTGTTAGAGAAGGAACCTGTTTCCAGAAAAGGGTGAGAATATAGAGAATATCTTAGTATTAATGGCTACAATGTAGCCATATCTGTCACCCTCAAGGAGGACGTCTTCCACAGTGACCTGATAGTCATCATCTAATTATCTCACTTCCCTTGCCTGACCCAGTTCACCACTCAGATGAGTCACCCACTTATTAAACGATCTTACAATGCAGATTTCAGTAATTACATTTAATACATGCTGAGTTTATTGCTACATAAGGAATCAAAAGTTTCAGAACACAAAACATATATATAGTGAAGATCTTGGCAAGGCTGAGGCACCAGAGCTGTGTATGTCCTCTCCCCAGAATTCTTTAACAGCTAAGGAGTCAAAGCCTTCAGCTATTTCTAGGTATATAGATAAAAGCAAAGACTACTCTCTAAAAACAAAGAGATATGAGGAAGATGAAGGTATCTAGATCATCATGCATGAGTAGAACTGCAATGAATGTATGAAGTTCCTGGTCAACATCACTCCCCTTCATTAACTTTCTACTGCTATGCTTTTGATCAAATAGTAGTATTCTGGGCTTTGGAGGTAGAGGGTGAACATGGCATAGAGAAGCCTTCCAAAACAACATCACATTATAATGGTCACAAAACATGTACCGGTAAACCAAGTGCGTTAACAAAAAGTGGGTAAGATGAAAGAAAATTTTTACTCTCTTGAGGGAAATACCTAAATAATATGTAGCTCAGGGAAAAATTTAAAAAGGTTCTAATATCTCAGAAAGTAAGGAACTAAACTACCCCTCATGATCTCTAAGTTCCAATGGCAGAGATACCTCCATACCTATACAAAATAGAAAGGAACCTCCCATGGTGTAGAGAGAACACTGCCAACCTACCTTGAAGAGAAATGCAGTGGTGGTCTCGTGCTCAACCATCCAGAAGTCAATTAGTGAGTAACGCACAAAAAACCATTTGAACTCTAATGTTAGATAAGGCACTTTGTTTTTAATTCTATCAGTCTCTTCAAAAGGAATCAAGCTCTGGGGTCCTCTGGTAATTCTGGGTCATGCTGGCCACAGCTTTACCAGCCTGAGAACATACCCAGGAAACTGTCAGAGGGCCACAGTCCTAAGTAGACTCCTTGGTGCACTCTGCCCACCTGTCCATGTGCATTCAGACTTCTCAGTAAACTTCCCACAGCATGACCAGTGGGGACGACCTGGGTGGCCTTTGTGTCCATGGCCACAGCCCAGGTACCCACCTGCAGGGTACGGAATGGAGAGGGAAAAACAACCATTAGAGTGAAGTCCAGTAGTTACCATGGAAGTTAAACCCCCTGGTCACATCCCAACTCATGGGAGTAAAAATATTTAAGAAAAACCCGGTGAGAGGAACAAGCTACCTGACTCCTCTACAGACAGGAGGACTTTCAAGACTGATCACAACAAATCAACCAGTGTTAGCCAAAATTCTAAGAATAGCATTAAAATTTGCTAACTGAAGATGAACTAGTTTGGATTTTAACCATCAAATGATTGAAGTGAAAAGGAAGGGTAGATTGGAGGAAATAAAAAAGACGGTAGATCCTGAAGTGTTTTCATGGAAGGGTGCAAAAGCCTATTTTGTAGCCCACCAGTAGAGCAAGGCCATGATAGAATAATTTTTTTAAAAAATAATTAGGTATCTTTCCTGAGCTGACTTCCCAAAAAGAGCCAGACCTGGTTCAATTGGTTTAATTATCCACTCTCTCATCCTTGCCTTATTTGGAATTTCTTTAAGTTTTAAAAGGAATAAGATGGGTCTGTGTTTTTCACATTGATCAGGCAGCTGGAAAGGATACAGATGAAATTGAGATCCCACAGAGAAGCAGAGAGCTCATATGACTGGTGAACTGTATCAAAATAAAAAGAACTCAGAACTTTTAAGTCTGCCATTTCAATTCAGAACAAAGAAGCTTTAAGTGAAATTTTTAGAACAGTGGTATCTCTCTATACACAGGCTATACTTTCTAGAAACCAGTACAGATATAATAAACCTAGTAGCTGTGTGGTAGTGGAGGGGATATCACTTGATTACCAGGCTGGCAGACATGCCCAAGGTGATGACTTTCCTCCTCACCTGGCATGGTGCCTCCACAGGCACAGCGAACTGTTTTCTGGCCTCCACTGGAGCAGAAGGTGCAGCAGTGAAACACGCCTGCATGTGGGCGGTGCTTCCTCCTCACCGTCACAGTGAATGGTGAGCCCTTCAGTGTTCAGACCAAAAACAAAGAACAGCACCTTATTAGTCAACAAGATGTTCTGAGCATCACCATGTGCTAAACAGAGTCTAAATCACAGGGCCTGCCCATGGAGCAACAAGGACATCAGGAGACAAACAGAGATTAGAGGACAAGAACTCTGTGCTCGTCTGGGATGGGGCAGATATAAATGTAGTGAAAGAAGTAAGGAGTCTGTGCAGCCCTTCTACCATGCTTTTCATGGGTACTGATCTTCAACATGTGGCTAAACCCTCTGGATGCTGACTAGGGTCACACACAGCTCCATTTTCAGTGACATCTGTATTAGCTGGGGCTTGTTCTGGCAAGATGGCAGAAAAAGCAGAAGTCCATGCCACAGTAAGCTTAAGCTTTTTCTGAATGGATTCTGTCTCACTCTACTCTTGCATGAAGTGAAAGCATGTAGATCATTTGGTTACATTAGTAATTTCAATTTGTGCTTTCATGTGACTGACTTCAGTCTCTAGGATTCTCAATCTCAACTTTTGAGGAATCTCGGGGGTAATTAGTGAAAGTCATGACCACAAGCCTAGGACATCCTGTGGTCCTTTCTCCAATTTCTCAGCCACACGTCTCCTCTCCTCAAATACAAGAGCTAGTCTCTTTCCTTCCACCCCTTCATCCTAGACACAACATATATGTGTTTACCAATCCATTTATTCTGGGATGTGAAGACATATGGAAGGGAGAAAGGTTAAGTGTGTGTGGCTAATAATTCTCAGATTAGTAGTTCTCCCATCTGCCCCCTTTACTTCAAAGATAACTTTCATTCTCCACTTTCTATCCTATGTTAAATAAAAAATATTTAGTAAGCGTTATAACATGCCTATCCCTATATGAGAACTCCACAGTCTGAGAAAGCACAAAGTAGAGGGCCTGGCACCTTACAAGCCTTTCAAATATTAAATTTCTCTTTTAAAGAGTTTACAATTCATTAAAAAAACAACTCAGAATTCAAAGAAAAGAGTTCAAATTCCAAGTTTGCTACAGTTACTACTATATATTGTATCAAGTCTCTCAGTCTAATTGGACAATGATCCCTGTGCCTGAGTGGCTTTGAAGAAAATTGAAATAACGTATGCAAAAACACATAACCCGTTCTTGACATACTGTAATTAAGTAGGCAATAGTTACTGAATATGCATCTTCCTAGTGCACAGATCACAAGGTAATAATATCATGATGCTGCATAGTATTCTATTGTCCTTGTCAATGTTGATTTCTGGTTGAGAGAAAACCTCTGACTATTCCAATGTCAGCAGAGAGATTCTTCTGGACATGTGAGAATTACTCAACTTTTAAAAATTCCTAATCTCGAAACCAGAAAGTGTTATACTTGTTTGTGGAGGTGGTGTAGTAACCATGGTAACAGATAAGCATGTATGTAAAGCAGAGAAGAGAATTACATGGGCAGATGGTTGGGCAGATGACTGGTCAGTTGAGAGGAGGAGGCATAACCATCCTCCTTGTGTTCCAGTAGGTCCATGTCTGGTCACAGTCTGAACAAAACTGGAAAATCCTTTCTATTTCTTTAATGTGCATGCTTGTCTGCTGGTAGAATGCCCCCCTATGATCAAGGCATCTTCTGCAAATTAGGAATTCCAACAAACAAACTGAGAGAATAATAAAATACAAGCATAACTGCCAGGAGGTAAAATAGGGACAGAGAGTTCTTATCTACTTAATAAGAATCCTCCAGTAAGAATAAAAGTAGCAAAATCTGGGCTGTTTATAAAGATAAAAAAGAAGAGAATCCTATTCAATCTCTCTGTATAGCTGATTCTATGAGAAAAGTCTCCAGATCCTAAGACAACAGAACCCAGGGGGGCAGGTGAAAGGACCTCAGCGAAGCATGTGCACAGGTCTTACTCACCTGCACGTGCTGCTCTTTGACGCAGACCCACACGGTATAGATCCCAGGTTCTTTGGGGGTATAGGAAACACAGTATGTCCCATCCTTGTTATCCTGGACCTTAGTTTTGACTGGACTGGATGAAGATAAGAGTTCAAAAAACACTCATTCCCACAAGCCTGCTTCAGTTGCCTAGTATTTTAGAATGTAAACTTCTACATTATTCCATTCAATATTAATTTTAAATGTCCTGAAATAGGAAGCTTCTTCCACTTGCCTCAGAATTTAATTGTGTAACAGATGGTAAACAGCATAAATTCTAATTTAGTCTGATATTCAGACAAATTCCTTGAAAATGTTATTGTGTTCTTTTCAATGGGCTTCTGTTGTACCCTCTTGCTCTGTTGTCCCTCCTCCGTAGTCCAATTTTAGAGAAATATAAATATGCTTCTGGCACAATTTAGTAGCAAAAGGGGGCTGAATTTTGAGAAGGGCATTATTCGGTCTATCAGATTTTTCAGTCTATTCCAAAGCTTGGGAGGAAGACAAACTGAGGGGTATACCATACCTTTAAGAGGGAATTGAAAGAAAATACATTTGGTCCAATTGATCATTTCACACTTTTTCACAGCATCATGGGGAGGTAAGTTGTAACTGCTGCAGTTACATCTCCAGTATCTTAAATTTTCAGTTTCCTCACTGCTTATTACCAGTGACACCTAACTGTGTGATACAAACCTGTCTTTCTTATCTTTAGGGACAACTGCAACATGAACGTTGTCTCCTCCCCTGCCCATGCTCTCTCCTGTGGCATCCTTACAAAGCAGGGTGAAAGAGGCTGTTTGTTTCTCCCGGGCTCTGTGGAGATCTGCAAGAGATAAACACTCAGTCCTCACTTCAAAGGCAAACTGCTGTGACTTCATCCCCAGATCAGACACCATCTTGCTTTTCCTCTTCTGAACAAAAGTTTGTGCTTCCTGTTTATTGTAACCACCCTGTTCCTTCTTCTCTCTTACCCTGCAGCCTCCCAGAGTATACCTCTTGGGAGTCCCTCCTGGTAAGCCTGGTTATTTCTCAGCCATCATCTGCCCTTGGATGACACAGGATCCTGGACCTTAACTTCAGCCCTAAGGAAGTTTTGAAAATACTCAGGATTGATCTAGGTACCCAGAGAAGAAAACCTCTAGACCCTGTGAGAGGCTAGTAACTCCAAAAATACCCTCTCCAAGCTCTGGGTTCTGCTGATTCCAGGGGTTAGAGTTGATAGTTTGGTCCATCCATGTTGAGATCCTCCACAGCTCAGTAACTCATGCCAATGTGTTAAAGGAATACCCAAAAGCTGCAGTCCTTAGTCCAGCATTCAGACAAAACAGGGTTTCTTAACCTGGGGTTCATGAACTACTATGAGGTCTATGGAGAAGCTTATGAAGGGTCTAAGAATCTCCTGAAATTTTATGCCCAAGCTGGTGGGTGTTTCTAGAGGAGAGATCATTCTCAAAGGGATCTATGTTTTCCAAATAGTTAAGAATTCCTGTGTCAGAGTCAGGATGACTCTAGGATACTATTTTCCTGTCAGGACTGATCTGTGAAAACATGTTTCCTTTAGAAACAGAACACTGGTCAAAAGATATCATTTTTTCCCTACAGAATGCAAACACCTACCATATCCTTTTAAATGCCAATGATATAAGGTTTATGTGAACCAAAAGGGGCATAGAAGAAAGGAAACCATAATCTTGTCTCCCTCATTCCTCTGAATCTTCCTTCAGAACTTGATCCAAGCAATCAAGGCCTGCCATGTTACTCTCTGAACAGGCAGGATTTCACCCTACCCTAATCAATGCTGTTATCTCTTAATGGGCACTGTCTCTGATCTGCCATCTGATAGAAACAAAGCCTGAACTTTGAGTTCCTTGGTATTTAGTACTTTTCTGAACTGGAAAAGGGTCAAGCCTCACACCTGTATTGAATACTAACTGTACCATGACCAGAACAATTCAGAAAGAAAATGGCAAGTCACCATTTTTTAGATCATTTATGTCTCTCTCCCTTGGTAAACTGATCAGTAGGAGAGCGCTTCATAGCTGAACAAAGGCACTAGTTGAAAAAGCCACAAATCTTTAAACATCATGTCCCTGTCCACTGCCCTCTCAAGGCCAATGGGAAATGCCTTCCTACCTTCTCCTTGAAGGACACATTTGGCTGGATCGACCTCTTTGGTATTAATGGCCCCATAAACTTCATAGCCACGGCACCAGCCTGCTTTTTCCTGAGAGAAGCATATCTTATCATTTACCGTGGGATGGGCACTATATACAACTTTGTTCAGCTTCCTGAGCCGTTCTACTACTACCCCCTTGGTGATGAGGATCTCCAAGTCCGAACCGCTAGTCAGCAAGTGCTCAGTGAACTCCACTCCAGTCCGCATGTCTGCCAGCAGCTGTTCCAGCTGTGCCTTCTGCAGCTGCAGGGAATTTTCCTTCTGGACCCTTATGTCCTCCAGCTGCTTCAGCAGCTTGTCCCGATGCTCCTCGATGGCCTTGATGTAGCCCTCAGAGAATGTTTGAACATCAGCTGCCACTGCCTCCACTCGCTCCTGGAGGGCACTGTCCATCCCTTTGATCTGAGCCAGGGCTGCCTCCAGGGCCTCCACGTGGGGCTGGGTGCCTTTGAGGAGCTCCCGCACAGAGTCCCCATGCTTATGGATGACATTGCTGGTGAAATCATAGGGGTGCTCTCGGTGCTCCCCCACCACACAATCCCGGCACACAGGCCGGTCACAGAGCTCACAGAACAGCCTCAGCTCTTCTGCAGGGTGAACAGGACACAGGATGGGCTTCCCAATCCGGTTGTAGCCTTTCAAGTCTTTTAGGTCCACCATGGTATGGTAAGTTGTTTTCTTCTGCCGCCTAGGGGCAAACAGAGTCAGAAACAGGAAATCAGGGAATAAATATAGTTGGGAAACACTTCAGCAGAGAGGTTTTAGGAGGATGGGCTCTGAAGTTAAACAAATTTGAGTTTAATTCCTTGCCCTAACCTCTAATGGCATGATCCTCTCTGATTCCAGTTCCTCATCTGTACAGTAGGGGACAATACCTACCTGAAAGGGCTTTTGTGTAGAACAAGAATAGACTAGGGCTCTGGCTTGTGACATGCATTTGCAAAAGGTTGCAATGCTGACTATATCCTGGAACTTTCCCCAAGAGTATGAGGGCCAACCAATCAACACCCAAAGTGGGAAAGCAGCATGGGTCAGGAGAAAAAGCATAGAGTGTAGTCAAATCTGGATTTAAAACTCAGTTATATTACATACTTATCAATTATGGGAACTTGACTTCAGTTTTCTCAATAAATGGAGGTGAAAACAGTGCCTGCTTTTCTATAAGAGTGCAATGACCAAATGAGATCAAGGGCAGGATCTATGCTATTATATTAATTCTCTGTTTCTCCAGCACCTGGTACAATTTATTCACTACACAAATGATTGAGATGGAAGGAAACTGTGAATGTGCTTTGTAAACTGAAAAGGACTATGCAAATCTTTATTGCTATTATTACTATAGCAATAGTAATTAGGTATTAGGTTGATGAGGTTAACTACTGTTCTACAGTATTTGCTATTGCATTGTATACTGCTCTTTGACATTCGATGGTACTTGAGAAAGCTTTCCTTTCACCTGCTCATCAAAGGATTTATGTCTTGACACCACTTTATACTCTGTTCTTAAGCCACACCAGGTGGGGTATACCATCTTTACCTATGAGCCTGGCAGCAGAAGTGGCAAAGATTGGCTTTGCAGGTCTGACACCTCTTCTCCACTTCCCTGTCGCTGCAGAGGTCACACACCAGGCCCTGGCCTTCTCCGCGCAGACTCTCCAGCATCACGTCATTTATGGCCAGGTGGTCTATGGTTAAAGCCTTCACTCCTCCCACGGGAAGGTCCACCTGAGCATCACATACCGGACAGAGGATGCCGATCTGTGGCTGCAGACTGCGCGGCTTGAGTTCCTGGAATATCGACCCCTCAGAGCTTGTGTCAGAGTCTCCCCCTCGGATGTCCACTACTGAGAAGGGTTCCAGCTGCTCCAGACACGTGGTGCAAACCGTGTGCAAACAAGGCAAGAGCCTGGGGGCTTTGAAAAGCCCCATGCACGAAGGGCAGTGAGTCTTGCCTGAGTTCCCAAGAGCAGTCCCACTGGGAAGTTTGCTCACGAAGCCCAGCAGCGGCTTTCTGTTTTCTGACATATCCCCAACGTTTGTGCCCAGTATCAGAAAAGGCCCTGGGCGGTTCTACAATGAAGTAGTATGTGATTGAGCCCACCCAAAGAGAAAGTTTCCAGAACTTGAACAGAGACCATGAGGACTCTCTCGTTGGCAAATAAAAGAGCAAACGGGAAGAAGATTCCTGAAAGGAGCCACCCACAACTCTACTCAGGAGGGCCCCATCCTTTCCATGGCATCCCATACCAGACACGCCCACGTCCTCCTCTGCCCCCCAAGTCCTCCTCCCCGGATGCGCTTCCAGGTCTAGAGCTCCAGCTAGTCCTGCTGCCAACTCCTTGCCCCTGCACCTCTCACGCCCTGCATGGCCACCCCCCTCCCGCCGCCCGACCCACTGGTCCCGCGCCCGACACGCGACAAGCGCCACCCCCGCCCCCGCGCGATGAGGTGGGGGCCCTCCAGCTCCTTCCCTCTGAGGTGGCGCAGAGGGTCAGGGAGCCGCGAGCACGCCGGCTCCTCGGCGGCCACCGCCACCTCGCGCAGCGGCCCAGAATGCCCGAAGGTTCTCGCCCCTGCCCACACCAATCCCAGCCCGGGTGTACTCGCGAGCCCAATCACCGTTGGAGAGGGGCGGCCCTCGCCGCTCCGGGCCCCGCCGGCCTCCAGAGTGACAACAACAACATCCAATAAACTTTGGAAATTCCACATTCTCGCCAATCCACTCACGCGGGGGGAGGGATGAAACGAAGGGGCCGAAGGCAGGGCGGCCGCAGGGCAGGGGCGCTGGGGGACAAAAAGAGCAAGACTGGGGGTGAGCGGCACAGTATAGGCAGCGTCACCATTTTACGGGGACTGTCCCTCTATCTCTGTGGCGACCAGAGAGGCCTCAGGACCACTTAAAAAGCTCTGCCGATACTCCACAGGACGGACTCCTTTCCGCGCTCGGATTGGTCTTCCGAACGCAGACAGGGCTCTCCCATTGGTGGGCGGCGCTGTCAGTCGGCCCCGGGTTCTCAGCCCGGAGCTTGCTGGGAGTTGCAGGAGGCGTTTCCCTGGCTCCGAGAGCCTGTGCTGGGGCGTCAGGCGTTTCTCCTCAGCGCACGTTTGGACCTGCGAGGTTCTTTTCTCGCCCTCCGGAGCTTATTTTAGTTCAGGAATCTTTCAGGCCTCGCGTGCCGGTTCCAAGAACTCCCGCGGCTCGCTAGCTTATGGCATTTTCCGGGGGTTAAGGGCACGTCTCACCCGTTCAGAGAAGAGTGCGGATGACCTCAGGGGTTAGATATTTGTCACCCAGAATTCTACAGTTACGTGTAACAGAAACGAGCAGAGCAAGTTTAGCCTCCGGTTTTTATCAGTCGATCAAGGAGGACTCCTGACTGGTCACAATGGCGCAGTGGAGGATGTCAGTGAGGGCCAAGACCTTTGTGGGCTCACAGACTAATTGGGAAGATGAACACATCTGGCACCCTTAGCTTTATGATTTTCTCGTCTCCGTTAAAAAGGTGTCCTTACCAGGGGTCTCCTGATTCGGCCATATGCGGGCTTTGCTACACCGGAGATCTGGGGCCTATATCTCCAAATTTCAAAAATGGTAACACGCTGTCTGCTTACCCTCCACCTGTTTTCATTATCTGCCGTCGCTTAAGCCTGTCTGGTATGCCAGACTGTCTCACTGCTTGCTTTGTTCGTGACCTTCCCTGCTCGATTTGGACCCAGTGGGCAGCTGTTTCATTGATGTCTTCATTATCCATTTCAGCTATAAGAATAGTGCCTGGAACCCAAGCTTTTGAAAATATGGAATCTGAAGGAAAAAAAAAAAAAAAGTCTCCAAATTATGGAAAATATAAAATTTAAAAAAAACTGATTTGTTTGGCCATTTCCGAAATATAACATGTCAGGGAGTCAAATGCCACTTTTATACAAAAATTACATGTAAATTCCAAATATAAGCATGCCTACAAAAGTCTTAATTTAGTCCTTAAATTTCTTCAGCCCCTTGTCCTCCGCACCCACCCTCACTCAGAATCTGCTTTCTCCACTCCAGTATGCTGGAGTAAGTCACAAAACTTTGTGGACTTGGGTTTGCTATATATTCTTGCTCTGAACTTCACATCTACCTACCCTGATGCTTGGCTGTGCTTTGCTTCATCTCTTATTCATGCTGTATCACATTTCCTGTGGTAGGTGTTCCTAGCTGCTCTTGTTTAAGAAGTGCTTTATAATTTACATGTATATTATCTCATTGAGTCCTCTAACAACTTTGTGAGGAAAGTCTCAAAGAGGCCTGATGGACAGCCCAACGTAACATATCTGGGACTTGAGCACACTTTTACGATGCCATGTCTGAGATTGTACCCTAGCCATCTCTACCCTTTCCTTTCTCAGTTTCTTGAGCATCAAATCCCTAACTTACTCAGCAGTTAATTGCCTTCAATTAAATGAGAAAAACAAGGCTGTCTGGAGAACTCCCTCACCATTCTACTTAAAAATCTGATTCTTCACCTAGATTGTCTTTCTTCTATTCCAAAGTTAGCCCCTCAAAACCTTTGTTCTTTATCCCACTCTCTCCTGCCTCCTCAAAACCCTGCTCCTCCTATGTTTTCAGTCAGTCCTTTACTAACATGTTCCTTCTACCAAGAATTATGATCAAGTCCTGAAGGAGGAAACTAATTCTCCCTCGACCCAGCTCCTCTCCCACTTACTCACTTTGGTGGTTCTTGCTACTACATTTCTTGAAATGTCTCACTCTTTGCTTTTATCGCTATCGTCTCATTAACATCACCACCACCTATTTATTCTTCCCCTTTATCCTACTGAAACTTTTCCCTTGTAAATTACGGGTGACCATATTGCTGGCCTTTTCTCAATATGCAGTCTCTTTAGTATTCACTATTGTTACATACTTCCTCATCCTTAAAACTTGCTTGCTTCTTGACTTTTGTAATACTTACTCTCTTGGCCTTCTAATCTCCTGGGCTGCTTCTCACACTCTACTTCCTCGCTAGTTCTCCTTTCTCTCCCCTACCTTTTCCCTTTATATTTTTTCGTATGCATGTGATTCCTAGATTCCAGTTCTGATCTCCTGAGTTTTTGTCACAACCGTCTATTATAAATCTGCACACAATCGTGTCCTCATCACCTTACACCCCACATACCTTAAACTCCATTGAACTTCTTTGCTCACTAAATTGTGCTCTCTCAATTTTCCTATTTTATTCTCTCCATAGTATCATCATTCTATCTTTACTCCAGCTTGAAATCGTGTAGTGCTCCTGTCCTCCTTTTTCTTTTTCCATATTCAGGTAGGCACTAAGTTGTTTCCATTCCCACTGCTAACACCTTATTGTACAGAATATATAGAATTTTAAAGATGATACAGGACTTTATCACCCTTTCCTCAAGTATCACTATAGTCTCTGAATTATCTCTGCCCTCTGTTTTTTAAAATTGATCTACAGAGTTTTTCCAAATTAATTGTAAAAACATAGCCTTTATTCTAAAACCCTCAGTAGCTCCCCACCTCCATAGGATAACATCTGGATTCCTTAATAGAGCCATATAACCAGTCTTTTAGTTATTCCCTTAATATTGCCAAGCACATTTCTTGGTCTTTACCAATTTGTCTGCAGCATTCTCCTATCTTTGTTATTCAAACCTACCCTTCCTTCTGTGTCAAACCTGCTTTACCTCCTTGAAGTTTTCCCTGTTATTTCAAGGGTCCAGATTAGAGCTCTAATAGCTCTTTGCTTATATTGTTCACTTTTCAGTTTGTGCCACCTTGCAGAATTTTTTTTATTTATTGTGTATGTGTGTGGATATATATGTGCATGTGTATATATTTACAATATATAAAGACACATAATACACATGTATACATGCATATTTTTTGCGTGTTTGTTAAGGTGAAAACTATTGCCTACACAGTAGGCATTTAATGAAGACCTGTTATTGATGAGGTAGAGAATGGTGATCTCAGATAATGGGAGAATAAATAGGACCACATTTGACCAAGAATTTTGTGGATAGTGCAGACTATAAGCGTATGGGGTGAGATCATGGAATGAGAGAGGATTTGTTAAGAACGTTCCTTTCCCAGAATTGGTTTGGTGTCTTGTTCCATGCTCACACACTGCTTCATCTGTCTGGGGACCTCAGAAAGCAAATAGTTAGAGGGAAGTGCAAAAGTCATGGGGTCAGAGGAACAGGACTGATGAAAGTGACCAGGGCCCATCAAGGTATCTAAAGAATTTTAGCCCACCCATATTGCCGAAGACAAGGAAGGTACTGAAGGTTAGAAAGCCAGGGAGGATGACGCATCAGGAAATCAGGCAGGTCTGGATTGGATACTTTGCTTGAGTACTACCACACACTAAATGAATATATGGAAAGGGACTAGAGAGATCTGTCAGACTTATCTGTCATCATTACACCTGTCTGTGTCAGTCATCATCCATCCTCCTCCTTTATTTCAAAGGAAGGAGAATCCTTTCTCTGGATACCTGTGCTCTGAAGTACAGTTCCACCTGCCTCCTCTCTCTCTCCTGTCTTCGTCTTCTCCTTCCTGGTGGATCTTTCAGCTGATACCCATGCTTAAGTCTCTCCTTCTACCCTGTGCCCCTCTCTAGCTTCCAATTTCTCTGTTCTTTATAGCCAAGCCTCTTGAAAAGAATAGTCTACACTTGCTTCTCTAATTTTTCACCTTGCATTTTACCCCTGAACACAGTCCAATTTGGCGTTTGCTCTAACAATTCCTCTGAACTTGTATGACTGAATTTACTATGATTTTTGGCACTGATAGCCAACTTTCTTCTCAAAACTTTCTTTCCTCTTGGTTGCCATTACACTATTCCTGATTTTCCTTTCACTACCTGCTCCTTTAACTACTCATTCTCTTTTTCCCTGAAGTGCACTACTTCTTCTACTTGGTTCTGAAATGTTGCTGTTTCCTAGGTCCTTAGTCCTTTTTTTTTTTAACCTTATCACCCTTCCTTGATTTTTGTGAGATTTGGAGGTAATATAAAGTACCAGCCCACTTTACATGGAGACTCTTTTTACTGTTATCATTATTGCCTCCATTATATCTCTGAACTCATTCCCTCCTTTTCATCTCCACTTCCTGCTTTAGTTCAAGTTCTTATCATACTTCGTCTGGATTATTAACTGGTGTTCCTATATCCAATCCATTCTCTATGATCCTATTAATGATCTTTCTGAAATTCCAATTTGATTATGCTCTTCAGTAGCTTTATTTATTCATCAAATCTCCTTTTTCTGGAATATGTTTTCCCCAAATGTCTTCATGGCTTGGTCCTCACTAGAATAGTGAGTTCCATGAGGACAGGGACATTTGACTATGTGTCAGATACCAGAAAACACATCATTGTTAGAACAAGCAAAAATTCCTACTCTATTGGAACTTACCTTCTAGTAGGGGAAAGCAGCAAATAAATAGTAGATGTGATAACTACATAAACTGTATAGTGTGTTAGAATGTGAGAAGTGCCATGGAGAAAAAATAAGCAGTGAGGAGCATCTGTAGTGCAGGGTGGGGGTGTTGCAATTTAAAGGGAGTGATCAGGATAAGCATCATTGAGAAGTTGATATTTGCACAAAGACTCAAAGGTGAAGGAGTGACCTTATCCAAACTAACTTTTCCCCAGATGATTGGGGAAAAAGTAGTTCAGATAAGATTATTTCCCCACATGACTGGGGAAAATGTAGTTCTGATAAGAGAAGAGTCTGTGCTTGCTGAGAGAGGAGCATGTATAGTATGTTTGAGTAATGGCAAGGAGGCCAGTGTGACAGGAGCAGAATGTGAACTAAGTGGAGAAGAGTAGGAGGTGCCTTCAGGATAAAACTCCATGTGTTTTATCCATGTGATACATACGTGTAAATAGGCTTCCCATGACCCTACCTCTGCCAGTCCAGCCAACCACATTTCTCACACTGCCCATCACAGCCCCAGCATGCACCCTGAGCTTCAGCCTTATTTTATGATTGTACAAGCTGCTTGCTCTGCCTAGGACACCCTGCCCACTCTTCTTTGCCTAATTAATTGTTACCCGTTCTTCAAAGCTCAGTTCAGATATCAACTTCTCTAAGAATCCTACATTCACCAAGTCTCTATTAGGTGCCCCTCTATGTGCTACCCATGGTACTCTGCGAAGATCCCTATCAAGTCTTTAACATTCTGCATTTCAA